TCACTCATCACGGGGCTTCAGGGTGCGGCTCCTCCGTGATAAACGAGGGACTACTGTACACTAAGATATATGCTTAACAAACGCCAAACGGTACGTTAAATAATCTAAGATGTACACTAAACACTAATAATGTACAGGTAAAACAATATGTTGTAACAACAATAAGAGGAAGTGTATCATTGCTTCTTGTAAACTTTCACAAAAATCAGTTCTTTCTGCTCATTTCTTTTGCTCAAGACAGTATGTGTCACTTCCTGTTGTATTAATAGCCATGCAGTCAGCAAATATAAATTACTAACAAAATATGTGTTAAAGATTTATTTTTTATCACTAACTTCTGCCATGAAAGGCAGACAATCATGACAATGTGTGCATTTGTTTTTATTTGCCTGCTTATTTGTGAGCCAAAAGAAAAGACTGCAATCAGTTTTCTTCAGAATTCAAGACAGTGGTGTTGCATCATGAATGCAAACTATGTTGCTTTGCATCATGCGATTTTCAGATTTAATTACATTTTTACAAGTATTTCTTTGTCACTTTCAGAGTCACCTGAAGGCGTCCGAGCATGCAAACGCAGTGAAGATGATAAACTTTGACTACCATCAAAATGTACGGGGTGGTAAAGCTGATAAACTCCACAGTGTCCTGAAACCCCAGCTGAACAAATTTGTCGACGAGTGCGGATTTTTCTACTACTCTGGTGAAACAGGCATTGTGAGGTGAGGATTAGAATTTGCATCCAGTACTTCCTCTTAGACTTTTTTTTTTTTCCCTCAGTGGCTTCGTTTTTACTTTTAAAGGATCAGTTTTTGTAGGATTATACTAAAAACTATCGTGCTAATAATTATACCCTCACTTTCTGCCCGTTATCTCATTTTCTAGCCATGGCTAATTTAAACAAACTCTTGGGAATTCAGGTTTCCTCAGTTGAGAACTCTCCTTGAGGTCAAGAAAGTCATTTGGATTAGTTTGATGGACAGATTATGTTGTGACATAAGCTAGATTTTTAAATCCAGATTTCCAAGCTAAGAAGCTACGTCTTTGTCAACAGAAACTTCCTGTTGTGGCCTGCAGAGCCTGGCATGTGCTCTGTTTGCCATGTCCCCTTATTTAGCTTTTGCATAAGTTATTCTTTTTATAATCTGTTCCAGATATATTTACTGCAACTTGTATTCAGTGGAAAATGTATCCATCGTCTTGTTAAAATGTCACGTTTCCTAATCTTTTGAAAACGTAGTAACTTAGACTTTCCCGATCTATCATTCAGGCATGGGTTGATAATAGGTTATTTTGTTATTGAACATATCTTCTGCTCAATGATCAGCTAAAAACGATATTTACAATGTTTCTATTACAAAATGAAGTTTTGATGTCGTGTTTTAGCTATTTTATGTAAAATATTAGTATTTTTGAGAGGTTTTATTTTTGAATGTGCTGTGCAACTGCAGGATTTAAGAGAAGTAATTTTTTTTTTTAAATCCACAACTTGTGTGATATAACATTGGTTTTAACTAAGTTATATATACACTTGATTTTATGGGCTTATAGTAAGCATCTGGATTTATTCTGTGCCGTGTCTTTTCAGGACTCAGGGGGGGACCATGAGGACAAACTGCCTGGACTGTTTGGACAGAACTAACAGCGTTCAAGCCTTTTTTGCCCTTGAGGTAGGAGCTGGTGATTGTATAACACTGAATCTGAAGGTTTTACATATAGATTTACTGGCAATTCAAACTCCAAACCTTGTTTCCTATAGATGCTGCCTAACCAGTTAGAACAGATGGGTCTGACAGAGAAGCCGCAGCTGGTGGCCAGGTTTCAGGAGGTCTTTAGGACCATGTGGTCTCTGAATGGTGACTCCATCAGCAAGATCTATGCAGGCACTGGTGCCCTGGATGGCAAAGCTAAGGTAATGCAGAAAAGCACACACCCAAAACGCAAATATAGTTGAGCTTTTATTGTGATGCACACTTTGCAGCGCATTGATCCAGAATTTCTTGGATTCTAATTATTGATGTAGTTTCCGCATCTAAACATTAATCCAGTAGTTTTATTTGATGCAGAGTTACCATCAGTTATTTCTGCAGGTTAAACTAATACTGCTGTAGATGAGGTCATCAGTCTGCAGTGCTGTATTGCAGGGGTCGACATAAGTGTTTTCCATTTGTCTGAGGCAACCTATTGGACAGCCAAGTGAAATAGACATGGATTGAAGTTCTTTGTCACCACAACAGATTTCTGCCAACATTAAAAATTAAAGGGGGGAAAAAAACGCATGTTTTGTTGTGATCTTTTTAAAGCCATCTAATCTAATGATGATCCAGGGATTAAACTGATGCTGCTTTCAACAACTTAAGAGAACCAGAGCCACAGTTTGACCCAATCCGAGCAGGTCGTGTTGTCTGAAACATGATGGGTGTGCAGTGCTCACAACTTATTGCAAAGATGTGTCTCCGTTTAACTTTAATTTCTTACTTTAAACCCACAAAGTTCTCTCTGAGTCAGTTTCAGGTGTTTATAGTTTGTCATAAATATCTGCTAAATTAAATTCTACACAATGTTTTAGACAGTCTTACTCACAGCAGCTTAAGAGGAACCCAACATAAAGTTGTTCTTTGTCATAAAAAGTGCAATTTCTCTTTGGTATATAAACACAACTGAGCACTGAAATTTATTTTTACTCAGATTTTAAACAACTAACTTTTTTATTGTGAAATTACTTGTGCATGCTGTGTGCAATGTAAGAATACGAGCAGTTGATCTTTTGTGTGGACTTGTGTTCTTTTGTCACTAAACTCTTGTACACTGTCTCTTTTGCCTTACTTCTGGACCTCTCACCCTGTGTGTGGTAAGTTGACAATAAAGTAGATGTTTTTTTAGCTTGGTGTTTTTCCTCGTTTGTTTCTGTGTCTGTGGGTGACGGAAAGATGAAAATGATCAAGTTTGGGATAATCTTTTTGATTTTTTTGATTTTTTATTCTTTTGTAAACTTGTCCTTATTTCCCTCTTGGTAGCCACTTGATCACAGGTCTCCAGTCCTGGTCCTTGAGGACCCCTATGATATTTACTTGTTTCCCTGCTCCAACACGCCTGGTTGAATGGTTGAAATATTCCTTTAATTTCTGCAGAAGCCTGATAATCACTCATTGTTTGAAGTTAGGTGTATTGAAGCAGAGAAACCTATAAAACATGCAGGATAGTGGCTGTCAAGCACAGGAATGGACACTTCTTCTCTTGATAAATGAGGAAATGTAGGCTTTATTGATGCCTCACAACAGACTTGCAGGAAATTATTTATAAAAATTAAAAAAAACAAGGGAAACAAAAACAACCATGCTTTTATTCTTATAACTTTATCAGTTTATTCAACATTTACTCTCTTTAGTAGAACTTGGATAAATCTGTTTGATTTTACCTGGTCTATAAATAAAACTATGCTGCACATCCATCTCTAAAATTGTTACGTCACTCCTCGTCCAGGAATTTTTATCCTTTTCTTTTCAGTTCAAACATCTGTGATGATAGATCTCTACAATGTTCCTCCTCTTTTGTTTTTCTTCCACTTCCGGCATCAGGAAAAACACTTTTTTTTTTTTTATGCTGCATCCAAGTCCAGCTAATGTTTAATGTAGTTTTCTAAACTTGCTTTTAAAGTTTATGTATTTGTTGTGTTTTGATATTAGACGGGGAAGCTCAAAGATGGAGCACGTTCAGTGACGCGGACCATCCAGAACAACTTCTTTGACACGTCCAAGCAGGAGGCTATAGACATCTTGAGGCTGGGCTCCACACTCAACAGTGATCTGGCAGATAAAGCTCGGGCCTTGCTCACCACTTCCAGTCTTTATGGTAATTATTCACAACATGGAAAAAAAAACGTCGTATTGTTGTGTATTATAGGGGTGCACCGATTGCAGTTTTCTGGCCGATCACCGATCTCTAAAAATCCTGACCTGCCGATACCGGTTTTGTTTTATAAGCAACACTGTCGGGTGTTGTAAGGTCACAATGCACCTTCAATTTTCCAATATTATTTTATTGAAAAACAAACCCTTGAACAATATCCTAGAAACAATACAAACTTGTTTTAACTGGCCATGAGGTAGTGCTCTGAAATATAAATGCAGTTCAGACAATTGTTGTTAAATCTACAAAAACTTGGTAAAATCGGTTTCTCATGTATCGGCCGATCTTCCAAAATGAAGGAAATCGGGACCGATAAATTGGCCGGCTGATTTATCGGTGCACCCCTAGTGTATTATTTATAGAGTCAGTAGGAATCATTCGGCCTAAAGTTCCCTGTAATCAGGTGAAATAATTCATGTTTTAAGCCATGTTAAGCCTGAACCTATTTATTTTGTAACCGCATTAAAAAAAAACAACAACAAAAAAACTCCTATTAGCCACACACATTTATTTCTGCCCTGGTCATTGAAGGCGTATGTGGCAGCAATACAAACCTAAGTACACCTTGAGGTGTTCTGAAATATTAGATGCTTCAAGCTCTGTGGCAGGGTCACACCATCTCTGTAACTGGTCTGCATAAATATTTCGGTAGGTGAAAAATGTCAAAGCAACATCTGTTCGAATGCCTAGTTGCAGGTTCTCCTTGCAGAACAATGTGTGTTGTCAGAACGTTGTAGTTCATTAGTGTAGCCATTTTTGTTCTGCCTTGCACATTGTTGAAATATTTCTGACAAGTCTGGACGTGCTGCTGTTTGTGTTTTATTAGCCAGAAGTGATTTTGCACAGAAGAGAGGTTTATCTGCCTGCTGTCAAGTGGGATGAATGATCTGCATCGTCCAAAATAATCATCCCTCTGTCTCAGCTAAATTAATACTTATCTGTTTTCTGTTCAGCAATGTTAACCCACGCTTTTCTTCTTTTTCTCCCAATCGCTTTTCAAACGTGTGTAGTCACTGAGCCTGTCTTACAATCAGGTACAGTAGCTGACGAAGTGTAATCAGTGGACGGATTTCTGTTCCTGTCCTTTCATGAAGTTGTTCTTTGTTTGCTTTTTGTTCTTTATTTACAGTCCATTGTTGGTTGTGGTTTAATCCACTGTCTGTTTTGTATTAATATATAAAACAACAATTAATAGAAAATTAACCAATTGATTTTTGTTGTAAACTTCACACATGTTAGTGAAGGCTTCCAGACAGTAATAAACCATTACCAAGGTTTATCCTGTGTATGTTATCACTTTCCATCATCGATATACTTTGTGCCATGCTTCATGTCTTCAGACTTTGTTGTGGACTATGTTTTTGTTTTGTTTAGCTTTTCCTCACTTCTGTTTAGTTCACCATCACCCTTCTTGTATAAAAAAATACACATTCTTAAGTTTTGCAAACTAATCCAGCTCTGCTCTCCTCTGCAGCCTCTCCAAGAGTATTGCTGGGAATGTGTCAGAGCTACCACAAATACACAAGGCCCAAGAAAATCAGAGTGTGTGTTGGCACCTGGAATGTCAACGGGGGTAAACAGTTTCGCAGCATTGCTTTTCGAAACCAAACGCTTAACGACTGGCTGCTGGATGCTCCAAAAAAGGCAGGCCATCCCGAGTTCCAGGGTACGTTACTGTTTATTTGTCTACAATAACACCTGGTTCTCATCACTGTTTAACAGCATGTTTTATAGGGATGATCTTATTTACCTTGTTGAAAAAGTGGCTATGTTTGAAAATGTTTGATAACTTGTAGGTAAAAGGACTGGTTGCTCTTACATGCATACACAAAACTAAGTCAGCAGCAGATTATATATATAGTTTTTAATTAGAAACTGAAACTTAAACCAGACAACCTACTTCCTGGTTATTTTTATGTGTACTAAAGCTCTAGAGCAAATTCATTTCTCTTCTTTCCCTATTTTTATTTTGTCCAGGAATTTCTAACTTTTAGGTAAATTTAGTCAAATATACCAACACAAGCAGTTTACCCTTGAAAGGTCTTATGGGGTAGAAAATCGGTCAAACATTTATTTGTGTCCGTGTTTTTATTTATTGGTCTATGTCAGCGCTGTTAATAAACGCAATTGATTCTGACAAAACCTAAAAATCTTTCTAAAGTTTTTGTTTTTTGTTAGAATTATTTCAAACGTTCCCATATCTCCTCGTAACATTATGTAACATTACTACCCTCTAGTGTTCCCAAGGGGTCAAATTGACCACATAGAAAGTGTTATAAATGCATTTTCTGATCCCATAATTATCACATCATAAAATAATGCATTCCTTTCAGTAATGCTAATTTTATTTTACTTCTATTACTTTGTTTTTAAATGTTTATATTTGCTCACTCAGTCATGTTTTGCTTTTTACGTAAAAATCATCAAGACAGACTTCAACTTACCCTGAAGGCCTTTCCAGGACATTGCTGTCAAGTTCCACCTCTCATCTTGTCTCAGAAAATCTTTTTTAGTTTAGATGCAGAGAGAAAAAAAACACACTTGCAATGTGCACAAGTAAAGATTAGTTTACTAAAGCAGTTCCACATGACGACTCGGTTACTCCACAGCTCAGAATGACTGACTCCCGTTGGCTTGACTGAAAACAGGATGTAGCAGGTGTACCGTGCTGCAGCAGTCTATCTGGTTCAGTAAAAGCATCAAATGAAAAGAAACTGGTGTTGTGCAAGACTAGTTTTGGGAGAAAAAATAATTAAGAAAAATTACAAAGAAAAAAAAAGAGAGAAAAGAAAAGACAAACTCATTCGGACCCCCGAGCGGCACATGTATGTTTGACTAAAACAATGCCCGATTTATTCCTAATGGCTCTGACTCGTCCAGATGGCTGGGTGGTCGTCCCAAAATGCGAGACTGGAAGTTTTCAAGAATTATCAGAATAATCCTTTTGGGCTATAAATGGCATAAAATTACCATAAAATTTATATTTTATCAATTTCCTTTATTTTTTTGTTTAATGCAATGTGGCATTATTTATTTATTTTTGTAAGAGGTCATTCACATATTTCATAGTCTGCATGAGTGTATAAATTGTATTCTGGGGTGGTGGTGGTGGTGGGGGGGTGTCAAGGACTGATGTACGCTTTTCAAAAAGAAAAAATGTGGACTGGTTTTGATAGATCCTGAATGACCAACATGCTGCTTTTCTCCTGCATGGTCAATGTTAGGCTCATTTAAAAGACGGTTCTGTGAAATGGCTGCACAGACCTGTCCTTCCTCTAATGGTTCATAAATCACAGGTGAAGCATCCATGTGCTGCTCAGAGCAGAGCTTTCAGAAATGGACTGAGTCAAGCAGAATCAAAAGAGGCAGAGTAAAACTCTGCTGTGCTGAAGCAGAGCGTGGTCTGTCAGACGTCTCCCCTTGTGTCATTTACTGTAATGAATGACTGTAACCCACTTTGGCGATCCTCTTTGTGGTTAGTTATTTTTTTAAAGCAACTACTAAGTTACTGTGCATCATTATCAATATTCCCTTGGTAATAAGTCTGTTGTTTAATTCTGCTAATGGGCGTTCACAACTATTGTCATAAGTTCATCACATTACTGAGCCGCAGCACAGTCGTCTTTTTTTCTCCCTCTCTTTTCACATGTCAGCCAGCCTGACCATCAGGTAGGCTGCCTCTGAGTGACAGACCACCTCACACCGCGGGGGAGAGAGAAAGAGAGTGCTGCCGCAGGAGCGGGCAGCCTTACAAGTATCTCTGTGAGACTTGTGTGTCTGCTCATTGAGTTTTTATAATTAAAATTAACACTAAAAGAAGGATTTGTATCTCCTGGATTACTGAAGAAACGTGTTCAAAATGAGTACATTCAGTACGCTCTTGAAAATGATGGAATTTGTGAATGACTCCTAACATAAAAAAAAAAGCATTTTAAATTTGCAAATTTTATTTCAGGCAGAGATGACTCTAAATGATTTACTTTATTGTTGAAAACAAAAACTATTAAAAATAGTAATTTTAAGCAGTTAAGTTGTCCCCCAAGGAACATCTTTCAAAGGTTAATTTGTTGCAACAAAAATCAAGATTTTTGTTCTTATCTATTGTGCTTTTAATAATTTTTGTTTACTATTACTTGATTGTGTGAATAGACACTTAAACCAAACAAAACCTCTTTTTTTTTATTTTTTTATTTCACAGACAGCAAAGCCAACCCCATTGATATCTTTGCCATTGGTTTTGAAGAAATGGTTGAACTGAATGCTGGGAACATTGTCAGCGCCAGGTAGGATTTTAAGTATCTATGCTGAGATTATTGACCTTTAAAGTTTATGAAAATTTGAAAAGTATTTTGAATACCGGTATAAGAAACCAGATATTTTTCTATATGTATACATTTTTATTTATTTATTTATATTTGATTTTATACTTTATACATTTCTTTTGGCTGATCCGTCTTCAGGAGTCACCACAGCGAGTCATCCTCCTCCACCTCACTCTGTCCTCTGCATCCTCTGTCCTCACTCCAACTACCTCCATGTCTTCTCTAACTGCATCCATATATTTCCTCTGTCTTTTTCCTTCAGCTGCATTTCTAACATCCTTCTACCAGTATACCCACTGTCCCTCCTCTGGACATGTCCAAACCATCTCAGTCTGGCCTCTCTGACTTTATCTCCCAGTTGTTCAACCTGTGCTGTACCTCTGATGATCTTATTCCTAATCTTATCCATCCTTGTTACTCCTAAGGAGAACCTGAACATCTTCAGCTCTTTCACTTCCACCTTTTGTCTCTTTGGTCAAAGGCACCGTCTCCAAACCATCCAGCATAACTGGTCTTGTAAACCTTTCCTTTGACCTTTGCTGCCACCCTTTTGTCACAAATCTCTACTCCATCCTGCCTGGACTCTCTTCTTCATCTCTTTACCACACTCCCCATTTTCCTGGACAGTTGACCCTAAATACTTGAAGTCCTGCACCTATGTGACCTCTGCTCCTTGTAGCCTCACTGCTCCACCGGCCTCCCTCCTGTTCAGACTCGTACTCCGTTTTGCTACGACTGACATTCATTTGTCTTCTTTGAAGTGCATAAAGTGCATACCTCCACCTCACTAGGTTCTCTTGCATATATTTGAAACACATTTAATATAGTAAAACTCTTTCGTTTTTGTTTTTTTTAAAGCGAGCATTCAAAACAATCATGAAAAAACGAGCTGATCTCAGTGGATGCCTTGGATAAGATAACTTGACCTGAATCTGTTTTTGCAATATTACTTCTAGGTTTGAGTAGCTACAGTACTTTGGTCTGATGGATCAGGGTTAATTTTATGATAAGAAATCTACTAGCTTTTTTTATTTATTATTATTATTATTCAAAAATTCAACATGATAAATTAAAAATACAAATAAAACACTAGTTTTCTTGCCTGTACTATTCTTAATTTTCTGTTTTTGTGTCAGCACTACAAACCAGAAACTCTGGGCAGCTGAACTCCAAAAAAACATTTCAAGGGACCACAAGTACGTTCTGCTCGCTTCCGAGCAGCTTGTCGGAGTGTGTCTGTTTGTGTTTATTCGCCCACAACATGCACCCTTCATCAGGTATGCCCTGCACATATTTTTATACAAACATTCAATACGTCAAGAGCTGCATTAATAGATATGTCTCTATATTTTACAGGGATGTAGCCGTTGACACGGTGAAAACTGGAATGGGTGGAGCTACGGGTAATAAGGGAGGAGTAGCCATACGTTTGCTGTTCCACACCACCAGTATCTGCTTCCTCTGCTCCCACTTTGCAGCTGGCCAATCACAGGTCAAGGAGAGGAACGATGACTACAACGAGATCACTCGCAGACTAAGCTTCCCCATGGTAATAACTATTACAGTGTCCAATCAGGTCAAATAATTTGTTTTAATCAGGCTTTATGACATCAGTGGAATTAACCTGTCTAAATAAAGGTTGAATGAATGAATGACATCGGTCCTGTCCTCCAGGGTCGTCTGCTGTCCGCACATGATTACGTGTTCTGGTGCGGAGACTTCAACTATCGAATCAACTTGCCCAACGAGGAGGTGAAAGATCTCATCAAGCAGCAGAACTGGGATGCTTTGACTGCTGGGGATCAGTTGCTAGAACAAAAGAATGCTGGAATGGTGAGAATTACAGAACACATTCAACTTTACTGTATTAATACATTAAACATTTTAATCCCTAATTACAAAATGTCTTCTACAGGTCTTTCGAGGTTTCATTGAGGGACAGGTAGATTTCCCCCCTACGTATAAGTATGACCTCTTCTCAGAAGACTATGACACCAGTGAGAAGTGCCGCACACCAGCCTGGACTGACCGCATACTTTGGAAAAGGAGAAAGTGGAACTTTAACAAGACAGGTTGGATGCTGAGGAGCTACAAGTCATGCTACACTAAAACAAATTTACTTACTCAAAATCTCAAACAATTGAAATAATGTTGCTGTATTTATTTGTGCATAGATATAAGTATTGACTATTTAAATGATATCGGAGTACGGAGTTAACATGTTTCTGTTTATACTTGTTTTCCAGCAGAGGACGTGAATGTTGTAGGCATAGCCTCTACATCAGGGGAGACTGAGGATGATCCAGAGCCCTGGAGCCCTGGTACTTTGAAGTACTACGGCAGGGCTGAGCTCAAGACTTCCGACCACAGGTAACCACCATGATGTAGCTGTAACTATCAGATAAATAACTGAACCATCTAATCACGTTTTTGTAATATTGCTGCAGGAAAAAGTGATCATGCTTCTCTCATGTCTTCCTTTAGGCCTGTGGTGGCAGTAATAGATGTGGACATCCTAGAGGTGGACCCAGAGGCACGGCACCAGGTCTACAAAGATGTCATTGCCAGACAGGGGCCACCAGATGGCACCATCTTGGTGTCCCTCTGCACCTCTGGGCCTGATGACTACTTCAGTGATGAACTCATAGATGAGCTGCTTGATAAGTTCACCACTTTTGGAGAGGTCATCCTCATCAGGTGAGCCTACCTAATGCAAAGAGGCCAATGTGTGTCACCTTCACACTTTCACATTCATCTAAACCTTTTTTTTTTTTTTTTTTTTTGGTGCAGGTTTGTTGAAGAAAAAATGTGGGTGACCTTTCTGGAAGGTTACTCTGCTCTGGCTGCACTCTCTCTGAGTGGCTCCACAGTAAGTCATTGCATACAACCAGTTATAGTTCAGGACCTTTCAGTTGGATCCATGCTAAATGTTACAGGTGGAACAAACGTAGGGCATTTAGTTTAAAGTGACAACTATTCAGTTCGTTTCTTATGGGAAACAATTTCAAGATGCTCAAGATTTTTGAAGTACCTGCATAACAATCTCTTGCCATTACCACTGAAACGTTTGAGGTAGTATATGCTAGGTAATTTTTGAAAGAAAAAAAAAAGGTTTATAGAGTCCAAAAAGATAAAGTATTGTAATGGAAACGATCATGTTGAGTACTCGACAAGAACTTGGTTCATTTGAGCATCTTCACTTTAAAAACGTGGTTGATTTAGCATCATTGTGTGTTTGTACCCTTTACCATCGACAGAGTGTGGCCCAGTTTACTCTGCATGAAGTAATGCAATTAAAAAAGGCATTATTTATTTAGAGTAGGGACAAAACTATTAGTGTGTAAACATTTATACAGAATCTAAATTATCCCAGTATCACTGTGGTGTTACCTTTATGTCAACCAGTCTACCTCAACAATTTGGGAGGATAATGCACTTTCACTATAAGAAGGAAGCAGAGTTCAGTTCTGGCATCTGCTGTTATTTGAATCACATTTTAGTAGAACAATATGAACTTTGATGTGGACCATAATTTTTCATTTCAAATATGAAAACATTCTTGCTCAAATAGATTTGAATTCTAAATTTGAATGCCCCTGAATTCTAGAATTGCGCCGCTCAAGGTGGCTGCATGTTGGAGCAGCTCTGTTACATTTTGAGAGTTTGCTTTTGGAAACTTTAATTCCTCTTTTTCTGGATGTAAATCACATTTTTTGGATGATTGTTTCCTCTGGTATCAGATGCTGTGCAGCTGGAAGGATTTTTACTGAAACTTTTTTAGTTTTGGACATTTGTTATGATGCGTAACCATGGCAACAAGGCAGTTTTCTACAACCAACAGCAGCTGATTATTATCTCAAAAGTTCAAATAATATCTCAACTACAGCCCCAAATCTCAAATGAGTTGAAAAGGATGTTCTGTGGATGCATTCTCATCTACCTGCCAGCTGTGCTCGAGTGCCTGACCACTGAGATCCTGGAACTAGCAGGAAATACGGCTCATAACAGCAGAAGGACAGAATCGTGACTCGGCACCTACCGCTGTGACGAGGAGCTCGGCAGACTGCTGTGAGGAGTGGCCATCGCTCTGGGAGGAGTTCTGCCCAGCATTCGGGCGGTTCTACAGCCCGGGGGAACCGAGAGGCCAGCTGAGTCTGGGTGGACGGATCGGACGGCATCTACAGTCATTTTCTTAGGATCCACTGTGGGATGGACCTTTACAAGAGATCCTTCCTGCCTACAGCCATCAGTATCTGTAACATCTCTTAATGAAATGAGAATAACGAGTTACAGCAACAAATAATTTCCCTTTGGGATTAATAAAGTATTTTTGAATTGAATTGAATTAAATTAAATTGAATAAAGCCTGAGGAATTATTTGTCTGCTTCTCTTGTTAGCCTTATCTTTTTTTAAATTTTTTTTATTATTTTGGTTTTTTTTTTAGATCCTTGACAAGCTGATTGACATCCGCTTAAAGAGTCCAGGCTGGATCAAGAGTCTGGAGGAGGAAATGAGTGTGGAAAGGATCTGTGGAAGCATTCCCATGTCAGCCAGCTCCACTCTGCTTGCTGAGGACGTGGATATGGGTGATGACGATTACGATATGGAAGGTGAGGAGTTGTCACCGAGCTTTCCTGGTCCTTGGAAATAAAAAGCGCCAAAAACATTTTCCAACTCTGATTTGTTGTCCATGTGTTTTTCTCCAGGTGATGTGGATGATGAGGTAGAAGACATCCTCCCTCAGCACCTGCAGCCTGGAGCAGGCTCTGCTCCTGGATCCTCTCCCCTTCCTTCTCCCCGTAGTAGCCCCTGTCCGTCCCCTACCCATGGGGAACCTGCTGCTCCCAGCAGACCCAGTCGTGCATCACAACCCTCTCGCCCATCACAAGGTAATAAAGCAGGATGTTAAATAAGATATCTCAAAAAGATAATTAAATGACTTGCTCAGGTTTTAGTCTCTTGTCTGCTGGAATAAAAACTTTAAAGGTCTTGTTTTTTCAATATGTGGAAGGTGACTCAAGTACCTCAGCTCAGCTAAGGGAAATTCCAGGTAATTAGTGTGAATAGTGTAGTCTGTGTTGTTACCACGTGTGTCTCAGTAAAGTGTTTCCTCTTGAAACATGCATAGACGTGTGATGATAAAATGTGTGCAGTGTAAACCTTTTATTTCTTTGATCCATTCTAAATTCTATCTTTGCACAATAAAACAAAGAATGGAGAGTGTTGCAAAAGGTTCAGGCACATAAATGTGTGTTTTGACAAATAAAATAACTTGTAATTCATTATGCATAAAGTAGAATTTTAAATATCTGGATCTGTGATAAATCCCTGCAAAACTATATATTTTAAAATTATTTGAAGAGTATTCTGTGTGTGTAGTGGATGACCATGTTTTTGCAGAGTTAATAAAGTGAAAAGTTAATCTTTAAATGAAATATTTATAAATGGCAAACATTTGTAAACCGCTCCATTTATTAACATTATTAATGTCCATCGCAGAGCAAAGACAGGAATTAGAAGCGCCCTCGGTCAGACTGCCCATCTATATTGTGAGCATGATATCTTGAAAAATAAGCAAACTGCTGACTTCCATTTCGCTGTGTGGCTGCGCCTAGGCTTAAGAAAGACTCCTTTTGAAAATTAGGTTGCCACGTCAAAATCCAAGGTAACTGTTGCCATATATGTCCACATATGATGTTCATCTTGTAAGCCGATTAACAAAAAAAAAGAGCAACATGCCAACTTCCATTTTGGTGTGTGGCTGCATCTAGGCTTTAGAAAGGTCACCATCAAAAACTGGATTCTTCTTCTTCTATCAGCTTTTCCCTCTTCACCACAGCGAGTCATCCTCATTGAAAATTGGGTTACCATGTCAAAATGTAAGATGGCCACCGCCATGTGTATGTGAACTGGCCACCCCTATAATTTCAATAAACGTGTTTTCTAGTTTTTATATTGCTCAAAAGTATAGTTTCTTCTAATTATTGGTATAGTCTGTTGGGTGGCTGAAGAATGATGGCCACTATTAGCCACCGTCTGTCTCCACCAGTGTGGTCATGGATAAAATCACTCCACTAGCCAGGATCCGTCACTCTGCACTGCCTCAGACGATCAACAAAACGGCTACCTCTCCTTCTACACAGTGAAACTCGGCTACCTCTCCTTCTACACAGTGAAACTCCTACCAACTTGAATATCTTGCACCAAAACCATTAAAGTTTACTTTCATTCCTAATTCCAGTCCAGAAAAACACTCACCTCAAAAACTACAAACATTCACTCTTCAAATCCTTCTGCGACGGGGGGCGAAGGGGCTAATGTTAACATTCTTTGTTTTCCTGTGTTTTATTCTGTTCAGGGCCTCCTGTTGACTTCCAGCCAGGAGCCCCCACAGCTCAAAGCATGGAGCCCAAACGACCACCTCCCCCTCGCCCCAACGCCCCACCACCCAGACCAGCCCCACCTCAACGCCCACCACCACCTTCAGGTAAAGTACCATGCACTCAACCATTTTTGGAACAGAATTATTCCCAGCCTGACAAGGAAGTCCTACACTGGGAGTTTGGGTGCACGTTTTCTCTTGAATGAGGTCTTTGAGGCAGATGGTGACGTTTTAATTTTATCCCACTGCTTTCAAATACGTGAAGGAGGCGCGTGTCCTCAGCCAGTTAGGAAGGACTCTGGAGGTAAAGTGACCGCTCTTCTGAGGAGTGTGTTCATCTTTCTTATGAGGTGGACGTATTTGATCGAGTGGCTGCTGTTTTCCATCAGAACACAGCTCTTTATTATCAGTGTAAATTAGGGTAACTTGTTAAAATTAAAGTGAGTGATGAGTAAGTTATTACTCATCATTAATACGAAAAATGAATGATCATAAATTTAACTTGGGACGTTTGTGTTTCTTTACTCTAGAACTAACCACTTTTGTATTCATAGAATAATTTCCTAAATGTACCTGACATCACTACTTTACGTGAATTATTTATTTTTGGCTTGATAAAGCATTAATATGTCAATGATCAAACACAGAAGCAGTCTTTCTGAGAACTCTGCTTGATTTCAGGTTTTCTATACAACTCCTGCTGACAGTTGAATGTAGTATGTAGTATGTAGAATGTAACTTCTGCTGTAGTTGTACGCAGCTGACTTTCAAATGTATTTTTGCCTCAAGGTTTTTCTGAACCCTGTTAGCGTTAGTTGTAGCATTTTCAAACCTGTTTCGTCATAGTTACTGTACTTTGTGCATCATTTAATTACTTCCCCTAAGATGACATTTTGGTAGTTGTACTTCATCGTTCTGTGTTCCTGATTTAATGAAAAAGTTGTTGGATGTTATCAATACTTTTGCTGACAATTAGCTAGATTTTATTTCAAACTCTAATGTTTTGTACCATGAAGACCACAGCTAAGTATTTTCATTTTTAATGCTGCTTTTTTATGTTTCCTTCTCTTCTTTTACTTTATGCGGGGACAACTAACTTTTTCTTTTTAAGACTGTGGCAAATGTCCCAGCCCACTGCTTGGTAGGAGAGGCAGTGAAGGTAACAAGCCAGTAGATGTTTTTGAAAGTAATCTGATTCCTGTGCAACTCAGTCCAATATTATTGTGTTTGTCTGTGTGACCTAGATGTTTGGTGATTAATAGTCTGTTGAGGAGGGAGAAATGTTTAAATTCCTTTGGTTAGATGGAGATTATAAATGAATAAGCCACAAAAAAGTGTTGTTTCTACCTTGAGAATAGTGTGTTCTGATCCACATCTAATATTTAGCAGTAATGCATCTTTAACTAAAAGCTTTTAGATGCATTTCCTTTAATGAAACTAAACATTTTGAATCTCAGTATAAGAGCAGATGTGTGTTAAAGAACGAGCCCTTTGTCTTTGCATCGTTGGCTTCACTGCAGTAACTCCTGATGGCAGACAGAAACTCACAGAATTTTAAGCTTATTGCTTTGCCACACTGTTGCCCTGATTTGCTTTTCCTAGTGCTTCTAGCGAGCTGTTTTTTGTGGGGAACACCTGTCTCTTGATCTTTAGCAAGTCACTGTGTATAACAGTAATGTGGTTTGGCTTCCTTTGTGCTGCAAAGGACCAAAAAGTCCCGCTCTTCCTCGGCCAGATGCTCCTGCAGGTGAGTTCCACAGCCCATGAAGCAGCCACGCTTCAGTGTTTCAGTTGATGTCAAGTGGTGTTAGATGAGTCTGTAAGTTTTATTTTATTTCATGACAGTCTTGTTTTTTGTGTGAAGTTTTATGTACTTGTCATATGGTGGTGAAAATAAACCTCCTTTTTGCCACTGTAGTCTTGTTGTGTCAGACTCTGCCTGTCTTTGGGTGGAAGATGGGGTTTGATTTTGTCTGTCTTCACCTGAGCTGTTTGTTTGGTGTGTGTGTTCAGCCGATTCCCTCTTTCATAGTAAGGGTGTGTGTGGTTAGAAGGCTTAACTTACGTTTGGTGACTGTACAGTGAGAAGTTCCACTGAAGACGATATTTAAGCACTGTGGGAAAATGTCTGTAGGCTTTGAGAGAGGCTATGACAGTCAGGAGGATCCTTACATGTGGTAAACTGCTCACAGAACAAGGCATTCTCTTTTACTCACCTGCTGCCGCTCAACTGTCATCAGTGATAATCAAGTTGGCTGCAGTTTGTTCAGATTGAAATAAATGAAGTTTTCTCATCTATGAGTTTTATTTGTTTAAATGTTTTCTATAAAGATACCTTATGTTTGCTCTCAGAGTGTGCCTTTTAACAATGTTTTGTCTGATTTTAATCAGGTCGAGGTCAGACAGCAGCTGGAGCTCCTGGTCCTTCCAGACCAGTAAGTTTGAACCCAAGAATTCCAACAAAAATTTTTACAAAAGTTTCCTTTTTTCTTACTCAACATTTTATCTTCTGTTTTTATTTATTTATTTATTTGTTTGTTTTTCATCTTGTAGAATATTCCTGCTCGAGCTGGAGTGATCAGTGTTTCCCCTCAGTCTCGCCAACCTCCTCCAGCTCATCCTGGAGCACCAAGGCCCATCCCCGAGGTGCATCCTGGGGCCCCTCGGCCTATCCCAGACACCCACCCTGGAGCCCCACGGCCTGTGCCCACTGCTCAGGCCAAACCACCTGACCTGCCTATGGGTAAATAAATTTGTATTTGTGGAGGGGAATATAATAAATAAATAACCAAGGCCCATCCCC